ACAAACAATAGTAAGGAAGGGGCAGTGTTACGACATCGAGGTCACGTGACTAGTATCACGCCACGTCCTTCTAGAAATATCCTGTTCCTTCATGAATGCTCTAGCATTTACTAGATATGTGTTAGTCTAGTATATATAAGATGGTCACAAAGTGACGGGAACAATATGTGTGTAATTGAACTGCGGAGGTAATGAGTAAGAATATTGTTGAGCACGTGAGAAGTTCGTTGTGAGTTATAGCGTTTGTTATAGAGCGACTGTTGAAATTAAGTGTATCGTAAAGTTGTATTCGGAAAGAATAAACCAGTTTTATTTAAGAAAGGACTTGTGTCGCTAAAGTTTCGTCGGAACGAATTTACGGAAAATTAACTAACGAACGGAAATGTAACAGTATATAAGCCGGAGATAGATTGAAGAGAGATATAATTGAATCAAGCGAACAGTAGGCACTGCAAGTAAAGTTGTGAATCGCTGTGAATTATAGCGTGTGTTTATAACAGTAGTAAAGTTAAAGTGACTATGGAAATTCTGTGTATTGTAAAGTTGTATCGCGAAAGAATAAACTAGTTTTAATTAAGAAAGGACTTGTATCGCTGGAGTTTCTCGGAAATAGTTTCTACGGGAATTTAACAAACAAGCAGATACGTAACAATACTAATTAATCAAAATATTATATTATTCCTCAGCTAATATAACTAATAATAAAAACAGGTGCCAGAAGTAGAATAAATTGACGTCACTTCCGGAAACTCGTTGTGAAATGGCGGAGCAATGGCAGAGAACTGTCATTAGTATTGGGATTATTATTTTGCTTGGAGTTGTGGAATTAAGTATTTCTTTTGGTATTGAAAGTTACTAAACTATTGTACTGTCAAATTTGTTTATGTCAAAATTAATATAAGATATTTATTGCTTATTAACGTATTGATAATTAAGTAAATTATTAAAGGCTACTGCTGAGTGCTGTTTAAAAGTATTTACTTTACCGTAGATTGTAGTCTGTGTCTGTTGTGTAAAACAAAAAGTGTAAATAGATCATTAAATATTGAACTATTGTTATGAATACTATCGACTGTAGCCTACTCTATGAATATGATATAGTCGTACATGGTCGTTTTTACGATGTTATATAAACTTAAGCCAAACTTTAAAAATTATTAAGGTCTAAACTAAAGTCAAATATTTTAGAAATTATTGTCATTTCAACAAAAATTAATTATTTTTAACGACGTGACTTTACAAAACACACAAGATAAATTTTTTTATGCTTAAGTTTTAGCTTTTAGAAGAAAAAGTTGAAAATCTGAAGCAGAGTATACAGTATACTAACCTGTAGGAATGATATAGACTGAAATTGAAAATAAATACTATAAATAATGTGGAAAGTTATTACTAATAGTAATATTAGTAACCAAAAATTTAAAATTTAGGCTTTTGAACTAAAGTTTAATTACATTGTTATCAAGTTCAAAGCCAGTTTTATGAGGTCAGAAAGAAAGCCAAGACTAAAATATTGAGCTGTTGCTAGTTTGACTTAGCCTCAGTTAGTCAGTTTCCTGATCTTTGCATATATCATTCTTTCATTCTTAAAATATATTTTTATTACAAATCCATAATTGTGACTACACTGTTTTGCTTTTACTGTTTTTTTGATATATCCCACTCTCACTACTAAGATTAACTGATTTTTACTTGGCTTTTGTTTTTGTACTATATTCAACTGATAGGTTTATATTATTATATTACTTTTTTGAAGTACATGGTTGGAATGAGTATTATTAAACTATAGTCAAGTAACATAGTATTTATTTATGTTCTAATAATATAAAATATGTACGTCACATTTTGTAACCTTTTTTTTTTCATCTGTCATTCCTTTGTATGCTGTGAGGTAAAGTAAAACATTTTTTCAGGCTGACCTAAAAAGAAAAATATTAATGAAGCTGATGAAATTTTTGCTAATATTGTCACACATAAAGTACATAAGTATCTTGGTGACAAAGGGCCATCTATCCCATTGTTGTCATCTTTCCATCTACCAAAATTTCAAGCCAAAGCAACAAAATGAAATGTAATCATAAAATTCATAAACCTGTGCAACAAGTGTTAAATGAACATGTCATAAAATAGTGCATTTTATTGAAATGTATAAATTCTAATGAAAAGCAAATCCTAGATGGTAAAAATTTGAGAAATCAAGTTATTAGCAAATGATTAATGTAAAGCTTTAAAAAATAAGAAACTTTCTGGTAAAATAAATGATACTAAAGTTTGTAAAAGTAAAATGAGATCAAGAAACACATTTCCAAGGTTAAAAAGTGACTGCAAAAATCTAGTATTAGTTAAGAATATTAAACTTGAAGATTTATAGTATTTTTATAAACTAGAGAAATTCTATTATTATACTTTTAAGAAAGTGTAATGACAGTTTACTGTTGAAAAAATTATGGTTTTAATGAAAGTTTTTTTTGTTTTTTTTAACCAGCTTCTTTACTGTTAAGTTGAATGAAAGTATGATATTTCTAACATAGTTATACGTTACTAGTCTTTTTCAAGTGTGAAGAGCTGACTTTTCTTTCTCTGTCAAAAACGCATACAGTTATGAATATGGTACAGAAATCTGATGTAAAATGATAAGAGGATGCTGTTGCTTTACAAAAGGATTTAGATCATTTAGTGTGTTTGGCAAATAAATGGTAGATGGGTTTTAATTACAATAAATGCAAGATAATGCATGTGTGTTATCATAATTTGAATTATAAACATAATTTGGATGGGAATAACCTTAACATTGTCAGGAAAGAAAGGGATCTTAGTGTAATAGTTGATCAGTCTATAAAGCCATTCAAGCAATGTGCTGTTGCTAATGGTAAGGCAAATAGGATTTTAGGTTGTATCTAACATACCACTGGTGTGAACATGCTTTGTAGTCACTATGAGAAAAACCTATACACTGGATAGGTGAAAAGAAGAAAAAGTGTCATTGACCACTGTTGTATCTACAGAAATACTGAATACAACTCTAAAGAGGTTGTAATTTCATTGTATAGGTCACTGGTTATGCCTCATTTGGAGTATTGTGTTCAGTCTTGGGCTCCTTACCTTAGAAAGGACATTGAATTGTTAGAAAGGTTTCAGAGGTTGGCATCTAGGATAATACCTGGGATGAAAAGGTTGTGATACAGAAAAAAGTTAAGATCTCTGAAATTGTTTTCTCTTGAAAAAAGATAAGTTAGAGTAAATCTGATTGAGGTGTTTACAAATTTAAAGCATTTGATAATGTCAGTGCATCACCTTTTTTCATACTTAATAGTGAGAATGGTAAGACTAGGGGACACAAGGATAAATTTTGGCAGGGTAGGAGTCATTTTCAATCAAGACAGTTGTATATTTCTAACAGGTTGGTTGGATTTTGGATTAGGTTGCCTTCAAATGTGGTTGGTGCAGTATATTTAAGGGAGTTTGAGGGAAAGATTGATAAATACTTGGATGATAATGGCTGGCTCTGATTATATATAGTTTAGTTTAATAGACCAGATCTCTATTGTTGTCCTCAAATGTTACGTTATAAAGATATGGAAGGGATTATATAACACCTTAATTTGTGCTATTGATAATTGAAATGTATTTTTGTAAAAATACATGGATATGAACACTACATTTAACTTAGGTTGTTAGTCTTTGTGATTTTTTTTGAGTGAATTAGTGATTGTCATGATATAAATAACTGTTTGGTTTAGATATTAGTGATTAATTTATTTTGATGAGTGAATATTTTATTATTGTTTAGTTTTAGTTCTAATAAGAGTTGAAAGCAGACAATTGTAGGAACTTTGCTAATAATTCATTGATGTCGAAAATATAGAAGGCAGACAGACGATTAAGTGATAAAGATATAAATAGCGTGAGATGAGCGGGAAGCAGCAGACAGATAATACGAAAGAGAATAAAGTTGGTGTGAACTTAACTATCGTAGAAGTGATAGGTATAACGTTTAATATGTTAGAGTGAAACTAACAGTACAAAATATAAGAAAAGTAATTTTATTCATTCAAAGCATGGTTCTAAAGTAATTGAATCAGCCTGGGTACACTGACAAAAAGGACAAAGGATATTCAGAAGAAAGAAGACCAAACGATTATGGTAACTTGCGCCACAACTGAAAGTGAAACACACACAGAATGCTAGTGCGATAGTAATATAGAGAAGATAGTTTGACTTGTCAACTGAAATTCTAAAGTAATTGAATAGGCCTAAGTAGATATTAAAATAGTATATATATTTATACTATTAAGAAATATAAGTAAAAGCTTTTCTATTTGACAATTAGCGAAGATCAGATTTTAAAATCCAGACAGTGATTAAGATGAGCTGAATAGTTTGCATCCTTGTTATTCACCCTAGTGATGATGTTGCCTGTACATCCATTAGTAGACATGGGAACAAAGTTAAGTTTAGTTTCATAATATGACAATATAAGAAAAGACTTAGTTAGGTCACTATGCACTTCATATTAAGTTTCATATTTCTGACAAAGCCACATTCTGAGATGATAACAGAATATCCATCTTCCTTTTCTGACAAAGCCACTTACAGAGATGATAACACAGATTATCTGTCTTCCTTTTATGAGATGATAACGTAGATTATTTATCTTCTTTTTCTGACAAAGCCCCTTCTCGAGATGATAACACAGATTATTTATCTTCCTTTTCTGATAAAGCCACTGTCTGAGATTATAACACAGACTATCTTCCTCACAAGAGATTTGGATACCACTAGCCATGAGCCCACCTGATTTAATGTGATTTCATGTGAATTGTGCCACTACATGATGATACCTCCATGCACACTAACTCCCCTCTATGCATTTGCACTCGTGAATCTTTATTCTTCACCTTGGCATTGTATTGTATAGAAGTATTTAAAGCCCCCAATCAGTAGGAGGGTGACACACCTCCATGCACACTACCCCCCCCCCCCTATGCATTTGCACTAATTAATCTTCATTCTTCTTCCTGGCATTATACTATTTAGATTTCTTATCTGTGTTCAGGTTATTGAGATTTGCATTGTTAACAAAACTTTGATTTCCATTATCTTTAGCTTTTGTTTCAAAAGTTTAAATTTTTTATCACAAATTTTTAAATGACAGTGATTTATATAAGTCCAGATTCACACTTGAGTCATTCTGGCTCATTAACTGTCTAGGTCATTGCAGCTATTGTTCAGCATGTTGTGGTTTCCCATATGCTTAATGGACCTCCTACTCCTGTCTTGTCAGCAAAGTTTCTTTCTCCTCAGTTGGTAATGATCTGCTAGACTACAACCTTCACCTGATTTGCTTTGGGTAGTACTTTACCATTGGTAAAATGACCCTAACTTTTCAATCTTTTTCTAGATTTCATTCTCAGGTATGTTTCTTTCCACCTCTTTTGCCTGTGTTCTTTATTATTTTTAATTTTCTCAATTTCTGACCCACAATTCTTGGGTTTGTATTGTCTTTTCTCCTTGCTTGTTATTTGGTTTTATACTGTTTTCTTTCTCTAATAGCTCCTTTCTCATGACCAAATGTCTCATCCTTCTATCAGAAATCTTTTTCCTCACTCATTTTGCCAGTGACAATCACAAACACTTAAATTTCTGTTCTCCTGCTGTTGATCTCAATTTCTGCCAACAGTCATTTTCCTTTTCTCCACCTCAGTCTTTTTCCTCACTCCTCTTCATTTGACTTCCCATTTTATTCTTTCCTTCCTCTGACTCATCTTTGGTCATTTTCACCCAGTCTCTGGTCAGCCTTGGTCAATGTGACGTAAACCTTAGTATGCATCTCTTTCAGCACATTGTGTTCTCTGTCCTGTCCATCTTTTTTGGATCTTCCTATTCCTTGCTCTTCCCTTTGGTTTAGTGTCAGCCCCTCTTGTATTTGTTGGTATCATGAGGGCTTTTGCTTGCTGTATTCATGACCCAGATCAAGTATCCATTTTCTTTGACTATTTATATCTGTTAGCCCATTCTTGGATGTTTCCTCTTCTCCTACCTCCCTTCTTTTCGATTGGCTACTTGATTGGAGGGACGAATCTTGGGATCTAAGTCCTTTCTCACACCCACTCAGTTACTGTTGGGTACTTTTGGGCAATTTCTTCTCTTGTTTCAACCAACTTCAGCCTATCTTCTTCACCTGTGGGTCATAGCATGTCTGGTCATCAAGTTTTACATTTCTCATTCTCTCTCTTTGTGAGAGGTTCTTTCAATTTTAGGGTCTTTGGCTTCCCTAGAACCCTTCATTCCTTTGGGGTATGCCCTTATTTATCTCACACAGTGGATCTTGTGGACCCAAGGTTTTCTTTGTTGGAGCCCTTTGTCCTCTTTGTGAGCCTCTCCTCAAAGAATTGTCCCAGTGATTGAACTCTGTCTGCATTCACTTACTGCTTCTTAAATTAGATATTTCCCTTCTTCTATGCTTCTTTCTCTGATTAAAGAACATTTTTCAATGAGGACAGAATTTCTGACACTTGATGGTTTACTTGTTCCATGATATTTTTAGTTGTTCCAATTATCCTTGTAGCTCCTGTTCCGGGGCCTTTCTGTTTTGGTCATTAACCATACACTTACGAGCCTGTTCACATCCTCTGCTGGGAGCTTCAGTACTGGTGGCTGACTGCCTCTCTCAGCCAATCTGTTTTCTATCAGTGGAATAGCCTCTACACCCCCATATTTCAATGGGGTTTACCCTTGTTTGGACACATCCCTCTTGGATGATTAAATGTTTAATATGCACATAGATGTATTAATCATAGTTTTGAGATGACAATTATTTATTTTAATTGTATAATAAATGGCTTTAACATTACTTTTTGAATTAATATGTCCAAAATGTGGTTGAGCAATTCGGTATATGTACATTTTAGAATGTTGTTCATTTCATAACTTTTTGATTTGTATACTTGATATTATATACATGAAATATAATTATATTGAATCTTGTTCAGAAATGGCAAGGGACTAGTAGATATTTTCTAAATATATCAAGTTATTTGTTTTTTTTAACTTGATTTTCTCAAACTTAATTGTATTTTTTTTTAACAATGAAACATATGAATACTCAAATATACAGTTTTATATGAATTAAAATACTTGTTTGTGTGGGTAAAGTGAAAAATCAACCAAGTTCATAATTGTTTCAGAAATAAAAAGTATCAGCAGGGTTGATAACTATTTTCAGTGACGTGCTTTCATTATTTCTGTTTAGTTTTCACTGAAAATGATGCGTATCAACAGAGCATATTAGAGCCATACCATTCTTACAAGGATGTGGTCATCTTCCACTACTCCATACCCCATCAGACATCACATGCGAGATGGCAGTTCATAGCAGTAATGGATGACTATACATGCACTTCTCGTAAAGTCCATATGTAAGTTAATTTTCTTTATTTATATACTACTACTTACATAACTATACAAATATTATAGGGAAAATATGTCACATTTAAAAATAATCATATTTATTTTATTTATATACTACTACCCACATAACTATACAAATATTATAGGGAAAATATGTCACATTTAAAAATAATCATATTTATTTTATTTATATACTACTACCCAC